AGCCCCCAAAAAAAAAAAAAAAAAAAAAAAAAAAAACCTCTTCAGACAGGGACCACTATTTAATAACCTTATTATAAAGGCCCTTAGTCTACAAGCCCCTTAAGCTTAAATATGAATGGGCATCCAAGGATCACTAGATATACTCTAATAAGAAAAAGACCCCAAAAATACTCAAACAAAAACTCAGGAAAAAGTATCAAAGCAGACAGCAAAATAACAATAATAATAATAATGATAATGAAAGTGATTATTAGAAGAGGTTGTGTTCATAAAACAAGAAGAGTATACTTGAAAAAAGAGGACCCAGAGAACCAGAAAGAACTAATATAAACTCAAACTTTGATAGCCAGTAGTTAAGGGAGCTGAATCCCCCATGAATGACTGCAGTTTGAATACTGACCCTGGCAGCTTGCAAACACACTGAACATGTGTGCATATGTGCCTAAAATCCCAACAAGATAGAGAAACGGAAGAGAAGGGATTGCAGCATGACCACACTCAACTAGGGGCTACTTTCTCCCTCTGTGTCTCTTTCTGTTGACTACACGCACCCTTTGGCAATTAAAAAGAATAATACAACATTGATAACTAAAAATAAAAAATAATAATCATGTTGTAAAATAATGTCAATAAAATTTATCAGAATGGGAAAAAGATCTAAATGGAAAGTAAAATAGAAAAGACTAGAAATTTTTTTTTGGGGGGGGAGGTTTTTGCTATAGGGCATGTGTGCTCACCAAAAAGACAGAGAGAGACAGAGAGATAGAAATCACCCCTCGGGGGGATGGCCCTGCAACAATCCCTTCTCCCCCATTCTCCTCTCGGGATCTTGGGCACACACGAACACATGTCCGGCATGAGTTTAAGCCACCAGGTCCAGGGGGAAAAAAAAGTCAGCCTAGGAGTCCAACATGTAACTAACAGGAGTTCCATAAAGAACAGAGAAAGCAGGAAGAGGAAATTATTAAATAAATCACAGTTAACATTTCTAGAATTAAAGGCCACAGGCTTGAGATTGAAACGTCTTAATAACACAATTATTGTAAAATTTCAGATTTC